AAAGTGACGTCAAATAAGGGTTCGCACAAAAGTAATCTAAATGTAATCCAAAAGTAGTCGCATTACATTAATCGCTGGTGTAACCCAAGAGATTTTGATACTGTTGTTTTGTGATGCAACTTGTAATCAGTAACACCTTAGCAACCACCTTGAAACCTTCAAGAAACCCCTAACAACTGGAAACTGTGAGTGTTTATGGTCGCAGCTCACCTGACACATGAATTGGGGGATGACGCGGTGGAAGCCGGAGCCCTTGTAGCCGAAACCCTTCTCTCCGGTGCAGAGTGCACGGAAGTTCTCTATCACACACACACACACACACACACACACACACAAATTATATTATATTAAAAAGAGCACAGCGCTTACAGTGTTATCCCATAACTGCCCCCATTTGTTGAACGGACATGAAAACGACAGGTCACACTTAAATGATCGTCAATCTTCAGCGCTTTGGTGCACAGATTTAAGCTTGGCCTCATCTTAAAGACAGATGTCAGATTGTAACTGAAGTGAAAAATGTTTAAAAAAGTAAATAAAAGTGATGTGCCTCTATGTTAATGAACATAATTAAATAATAAAAGCATTGCTAATAATAACAAAAATTAATATTATATTTCCCTGTACACTGTACATGTGTGTGTCTGTCAGACGCGCTACACAGTGTTTAATAGACGCCGTTTCCCAAACGGATTCTGTACATGCCAATTGATGCGGAGCTCAAGGGGACACTGGGTTTTGGGTGCATGTTTGAATAGACGGATACACAATTAATAAAAATAATTAATTAAACATGTGGATGTTGGTGGAATTTATTTTAAACACAACAAATTTAATTAAGACAATGGAATGCTTTCATTATAGATCTGTTCATTTTTAAAGTGATATTGTATCCCTCATTGTTACACACACACACACACACACACACACACACACACACACACACACACACACACACACACACACACACACACACACACACACACACACACACACACACACACACACACACACACACTAATACTCACCAGCGGTCTTCGGCACAACATCAGCTCTCAGCTGCAGAACAGAGCAAACAAACGGAGATCAGCACAGCAGAACCGCTTCACAATATAATGAACATTTACACCAGGGGTGTCCAACTCCAAACTCGGTCCTGGAGGGCCGGAGTCCTGCTGGGTTTATCTCCAACTTGCCTCAACACACCTGGCTGGAAGTTTCTAGTGCATTTAGTGAGAGCTTGATTAGCTGGATCAGGTGTGAAGCTGAACTCTGCAGGACAGCGGCCCTCCAGGTTTACAATAATATTATTTACACAATAATAATAGACAGTGTCTTGCACATTTAGATTAAGCAGCATTTTCTGACATTTTAAAGACTCTGAGAAGAAAAAAATACATTGAAATATAATTATTTAGTATATTTTTGTAAATCACGTATACATGAACACATCACACCTAAAATAAGCTTTAGTATTACAAGTAAAGCTCGACACTCAAATACACATTAAATCTTATTTGAAAGCACCAGCAGGCGAGGCAGTGGTGCAGGAGGTAGTGCTGTCGCCTCACAGCAAGAAGCTCGCTGGTTCGAGCCTCAGCTCAGTTGGTGTTTCTGTGTGGAGTTTGCATGTTCTCCCTGTCTTCGCGTTGGTTTCCTCCGGGTGCTCCGGTTTCCCCCACAGTCCAAACACATGTGGTACAGGTGAATTGGGTAGGCTAAATTGTCCATAGTGTATGTGTGTGGATGTTTCCCGGAGATGGGTTGCAGCTGGAAGGGCATACACTGCGTAAAAACTTGCTGGATAAGTTGGTGGTTCATTCCGCTGTGGCGACCCCAGATTAATAAAGGGACTAAGCCGACAAGAAAATAAATGAATGAAAGCTCAACAATAAGCACTGCCTGATGGCCCAGGGTCAGTGTGAGACGCTCGGGACAGTGTACAGGATGATTACTGGCCCGATCCAATTCGCCATCAGTAAGACAAGTCAGCCGCCTTTTGTTGGATAATTTCAAACTGCAATAAAACCAGCACATTTTCCACACTGCTCTTTTTGTTTGCGTCACACTTTGAATTGCTCATTATACATTTATTAACATTCTTAAAATACTTCAATTCTAGATTCACACAGTATTTTTGACACATTATTTAAAAGATGTGGCTGAAACAGCTATTAACTTCTCCATTTTTTTTTCTTTCGGTGGGGCCAGTAGATAAAACCCTTAGCGTTGAACCCTGACTAGATTTCACACATTTGAGATGTTTCTTCATTGTAAAGCGACTCCTGTTAAACATCACTTAAGCACTATTTATTTCATACTCTTCTAAAAGTCCATCTCTGAATAAACGATGCAGTTCGGCTATACTGTACTGCCGCTAAACACACTGTTGGTGGCGCAGTGGTTAACACTGTGGCCCCACAGTAAGAAGGTCTCTGGTTTGAATCTGGGCTGGGTCAGTTGGTGTTTCTGCATGGAGTTTGCATGTTCTCCTCCGGTTTCCCCCACTCTAAACACATGCGCTATAGGGGAACTGATCAACTACACTGGCCGTAGTGTATGAGTGGCAGAGTGTGTATGGGTGTTTCCCAATACTGGGTGTGGCAGGAAGGACATCTGCTGGGTAAAAAAATTGCTGGAACAGTTGGCGGTTCATTCCGCTGTGGCGACCCCTGATTAAATAAGGGGCTGAGCTGAAGGAAACTGAATAAATGAAGCCACTCTGCATGATTATTTAGCATTGTTCATGTATATGAAGTGATATTTTGCTTTTAATCTGATGGTTTGGCTCGTCCTCATATCTCACATGCAGTTTCTGTTGTCATTTCAACAGAATTATTACATGTATGTATTTTCAACCTTAGAAACATCATTGAACACTCAAGAGTATATCTGAATTACTGATATTCACCTTATTTTACTACATTGTTGGTTTTAATCATTTCCACTCTTTCAATATTTGAAATTTCCTTTTTATGCAACAATACGAGCATATATATATATATATATATATATATATATATATATCGAGCGAAGGTTTTATAGTTTAATTGTCATAATGCAGAAGCAGAGCTCGAGTGTGTGATGAAAATGGTAAAACAAAAATCCACTACTTCCGCATTTCTCTGGAAACATCGACCCTGACGGGAGCGCGCGCGCGCTCGCGCACTCCTATGCAGATCACCTGCGCGCTCTTCATCAGCTACATTAATCTATGATCAGCTACTATTATAAAGATGAGCGCTATAATAAGGGGATTCAATATTACTAATAGAAGCATTACTCTAACACGCTTAAATTAAAGGCTCGACTCCGGCGCTCGCCCCTCCCTTCCCAAAATGGCATCTCGAGTTATGAAAAAATGATGAAAATGGCGTCTGCGTCAAAAAAGCGTGCGCGTCCTCGTGTGGAGAGCGCGGGTCCTCCATGTGCGCGCAGCTGATGGGAATTTCGGATCATTTTACCGACTGATTCCCGTTCAGCGACATGATCGAATCTTTATTTATATTTCTTTTAGTATAAAAAATACAGACAAAGTGGCTGATCGCTGGTGTATTTTCATTAATAGACACAAAAAATGTGCTAGATTAAAAGTTAAACTCATAATAGAACTTATATTGTATTTGTTTTGCTCGTAAAATCCAAAAATGACATGTTTAAAGGAAAATGTAAGTGTTTGGGGGATTATTTTAGCAATACGAACACACCAGACCAGAATAGGCAAAGATGGAATAAGTCAAAGTTTTAGGAATTATTTGTTGTTATTATTATTAATATTTTATATTCAAAACTCCCAAGACTAGTGGTGTTTAAAGAAGAATTATACTGTATTGAAAGACATTAAGAGAGATGAAACGCCAAAAAGCGAGATATTTAGATTTATCATTAGAGGATTTTGGTAATCTACTCCCCTACTGCGTATTTTATCTGTTACTTTATTTATACATGTTGTATTACTAACAACAATAATATTAATGATGGAAAGATTGTGAATGTTAGTTGATTATCTCAGTCTTTGTGTAATTTTGAACAGTATTAAAGTCTCCGTTATTGTTCAGGCATTGCTAATGTAAAAAGACGGGTGAAAAGCGTTTTCCCTGTACATTGTGCGCATGCGCTGAATCACTCATTGAAACGACGTCTCGCTACCGAGTCACATTAAAGATTCAAACGAATCGTTTAAGAACGACTCGTCGTCAGCAGGCTGTCAGTGTCAGCGCTCATCAAACCAGCACAATGTGGCGGGGGGAAGCCTCGTGTGCGCGCTTCATGCACAGACGGATTCACAGCATCACACGCGCATCTTTAATTAAAGAGTCGCCGCTCGCTTTAAATACACGCAGATTTATCTCCATACCTCCATCACGATCCTCCCCGCCTCCTTCCCATCGATGGTGATGTCAAAAAACACTTTGGGGTTTGCCATGATGAAGGAATAAACTCGGTCAGTTTGTGCAGCTGAATGAATCCCAGCAAACGCCGCAGCTCATCGGGAAGCAGGAACTGTGCGCGCGCGCGGGATATAAAGACGCCTCTGCCGCGGAGGATCCGCTGAGTGACGTGCGAACGGGCCAATCAGAAGCGGCGCGCTTGAATAAATTAGCGACGTGCGGCTGTGGAGGAAGGCGCTTGATTGACGTGCCGGTTAAAGTAGGTAGAAATGACGCAACCGCGTCTCATCCAATGAGCGATGTGCAAATGAAGTGGGTGTGAACTTGCGGTCTGTCATGGCGTGAGGGCGGTGGCCGAAGGCAGAATTCGCCATTACTGTTTTGCATTCAATCGCGGAGAGCGAACGAGCAGATGATTTATTTCACGATTTATCATCATCTCATCATGTACGCGTGGTTTATTGATAAAACTGAAATGTGTGGTTTAAGAAAGAGACAGGTGTGTGACTGAAAAAGCGAGTTTTCATTCTCCTGACGACCCGCCCCCTGCGCGCATTTTCCCGCGGTTTGACACAATGCAGCTCCCCAAATAAAGGCAATGCAAGGCAATGGGGCTTAAGTCTTTACTTATAAAACATAATGGAAATATTTCACATCTTTAGAAAAACAAATCGCTTTCAATTGTACATGTTTAATTCAACCGATAGAACTTGATGATCCACCAACACACGATGACAGTCAAACATCTTTTTTTTGTGGTATTTTTGAACAGTTTGAGTGATGCTGGTTTCTCAGATTCTCATGAATTCATCATCTTTTTTTAATGTGGTATCTTTCTAACAAATTCATAAACTCTGCTAGTTAACACAGAAGAGAGAGAGAGAGAGAGAGATGCATACAGGCCCATCAATTATCTTTATAATTATAATAACAATTATTATATAATCAAAGATAAAATCGTATGATACACAAATGACTTCAAACAAACAAACAAACGAAAAGAATAAAAGCACATCATCCGACGACTTCTGATGCTCCCTGTATTGTTAATATACAAACTGCACTTCGCTAACGCTGCCCAAAGAGCCATGATAAATAATAAAATCAGACAAGACAGGAATCGACATCATCATCATCATCATCATCATCATCATCCCTCATCATCGGTTTCTCCATCCAGCTCTGAATGTAAATCTGGGGAATGAGCTCTTGTCATAGTGTTTTCAAATGTTCATTTTTTTTCATATCATGGGGTTAAGAGAAAGTTCACATCCGCGACGATAATAATACTATATCTGTACATATTTCACATCAATCCCAACGTTTTTCCTCCTCGATTGTGATTGTGGCGATAAACATCAGTCCATTTCTTGTCGTCACTCTCCCACCCAATCAGATTTGTCCGAGCAAAATCTCACTACGGGAAGGTGTTCGTCCACCAAACGCGATTGTTGTTGTGCATTTGTAAGCTCTCTAACAGGGTGCTACCGGGCTGCTTGTGCTCTGTCTGGGTTCACACATGTCGTTGACTAAGAAGATGTGTTTTCTACCAAATATCAGCCCAGACTTGCATATTTAAGGGCGAGTTAAATGCAAGATCTGACCTCATGGCCCTAAATCCACAGGGGAGGAAGACGTTTTTAAAAAAGACATCGAAGGGTAAGAAATTCACGAGAGACAGACGAAAACAAAGCAGGGCGTGGTGTAAAATCATTAAATTTGTGCCAACACACACACACACACACACACACACACACACACACACACACACACACACACACACACACACACACACTCACACTCACACTCACACTCACACACACACACACACACACACTCACACTCACACTAGCTTCACTAAAGATAACTCTTTGCCTTTGATTTCCTTCGTGTGTAGGCAAATACGGTGTGCAAAATGTGATAGTGCACTTCTTGAATGCTACCGTTTCAGACGTGAGCACGTTTTATAAAGGAAATAAAGGCTACATCAAGTCATTTGTGGATTGAAACCGTGTTGTAACCACATGGAGCTAGCGTGAGGTCGTCTTTGGGTGAATAAAAGATGAAATAATTGAGAATTCTGTCAGTGTGTAAAAGAAATAGTTCAGCCAAAAGGAAATTTCCTCATCATTTGCTCACAACTCAAGTTTCTTCATCCTGTCGAACAAGATAATCTTGAAAAACATATCCATCAACATCCATATCATGAGCTAAAAGCCTTCTTCAGTTTATCTTCCTTTGTGTTCAATAGAAAAACCCTTAACAGGTTGCGTAAATGATGACACTTGTAATTTAGAGGTGAACTGTCTCTTTAAGAGAATCGGTGTTTGTGTGTGAAGTTATGCTGGGTTCACATCAATCACGCACCACTGCGTCACTCGCTCTAGTTTACTCACGGGATGTTTTTCCCTTTACAAATTTTTTTTTTGTGTAATTCAATCATTTGAATATGAACACAAGACACAATTATGGCAAACTCGGCGTTGTTCATGCCTATAGCATTGATTTATCTCTATTTTCACATTTGCATTGACTTCATATGTAATTTGCATTTGTATTGAATACTTAATTCCGCATTTGGTCTGAATCCAGCATGGAGCACTTTGATGGAAATTCTTAATCATATATTAACGTGAAAAATCATATTTAATGTATTTATTTTGTATTGTCTTTTAATAATTTGAGGTTGTCGTTATTATTACGCAATATGTTCTATCTATATCAATCTTCGATCAGTCACAAAGTAGTCTTAAAATGCCGATGTACAATGAACAAACTAATGTAATTCGATACTTCGGTCAGAACGCGTAGCTTAATCTGCGACATTCGCACCACACTCTGAAAATTCGCCTCGGTTCAAGCGTTTGCATTAACTTTATAGGTAATTTACTTTTATATTGAATACTTAGTTACTCATTTTATATTGATCCTATATCAACACGAAAATCATATTTAATGTATTGTTTTGTATTGTCTTTTATTAACGAAGTTGTCGTTGTTTTTATTATGCAATGTGTACTTATCCACATTACAATAAACAAACTAATGTAATCCAGGTTCCATGTAATCCGATACTCCACAGCTGTGGTTACAGTAAAGCTCACAGCAACATTTGCACCGCGCAGTGATAATTCGCCACTATTTTAAATTTTGCATTAACATGTAATTGACTTTTATTAAATGTTTAATTCCACATTTGGTCTGAATCCAGCCTTACAGTTTTTTGTCTCTAAGTTATTGGTATGAAAAATCATATTTAATGTTTTTAATGTAAAATGTTTTAAAATTTTATTGTTAATTAATGTGAAGTTATTATTGTGATGTTGTCTTTATTATTATTATTGTACAATATTTACTTATTTATTTCAATATTGTCTTGAAGTAGTTGTAAATTGCTGATGTACAATAAATAAACAAATGTAATCCAGGTTACATGTAATCCGATACTCTGCAGCTGTGGTCAGAGTAACGCTGACAGCTTTATCTGCAAAGTTTGTGTCGTGTTGTGATAATTCGCTACTTTTTGAGCGTTTGCATTAATATTGTATGTAATTGACTTTTATATTGAATACTTAATTCCACATTCAATCTGTACTCAACATTAGATCGATAAATTCGCTTCAAGTTATCGATCAAATGTCGACATAAAAAATTCATATTTAATGTTTTTAATGTAAATTTTTTGTATCGTCTCATATTAATGTGAAGTTGTCGTTGTTATTATTAAGCAATATGAACTTATCTATATTACAATGTATTAAACAAACAAATGTAATCCAGGTTACAGGTCATCCAATACTCCGCAGTTGTGGTTACAGTAACGCTATCAGCTTTATCTGCAACATTTGCACCGGTGATAATTCACCACTATTTGAGCACTTGCATTAACTTTATATGTAATTTACTTTTATATTAAAAACTTAATTCCGAGTTTGGTCTGAATCCAGCACTAGAGTACTTTGATGGAAGTTGCTGACCCTATATTGACATGAAAAATCAGATTTAATGTTGTTAATGACAAATTTAAAAACATTTGCGTTGTCTCTTATTAATGTGAAGTTGTCGTTTGTTATTATTATTATACAAAAACTTTTTATCTACTTCATTGTAGTCATGAAATAGTTGTAAATTGCTGGTGTACGAAAAACAAACAAATGTAATCCAGGTAACATGTAATCCGATACTCCGCAGTTGTGATTACAGTAACGCTCACAAATTTATCTGCGACATTCGCACTGTGCGGTGATAATTCGCCACTATTCAACTTTTTGCATTAACTTTAACTCCGCATTAATTCCGAGTACTTTGATGGAAGTCATCGATGCTAAATCGACATGAAAAATAAAAAATCATGTTTTTAATGTAAAACTATGTTGTTTTTTTATTGTTTCAATGTAAAGTTTTCATTCGTTATTATACAATATGTTCATATCGAATTCAATCTTGTCAAAGTAGTCAACGTAGTATGTTAAACAAACAGATGTAATCCAGTATACATGCAATCCGATACTCCACAGCTGTGGTTACAGTAGAGCTCACAGGTTTATCTGCAACATTCGCACCTTGCGGTGATAATTCGCCACTGTTTAAGCGATTGCATTAACTTTATATGTGATTTACTTTTATATTGAATACTTAGTTCGGAGTTTGTTCTGAATCCAGCATTAGAGTACTTCGCTGTAAGTTATTAATTCAATATCGACATGAAAATTCATATTTAGTGTTTTTAATGTAAAACTATATTGTTTTGTCTCAATGTGAAGATTTCGTTCATTATTATACAATATGTTCTTATTTATTTCAATAATGTCATGAAGTAGTCGTAAATTGCTGCTGTACGAATAAACAAACTAATGTAATCCAGGTTACATGTCACTCGATATTCCCCAGCTGTGGTTATAATAATGCTCACAGCTTTATCTGCGACATTCGCACTGTGCTGTGATTATTCGTCAATGTTTGCATTAACATTATATGTAATTTAATTTTATATTCAATACTTAATTTCGTGTTTGTTCTGAATACAGCATTAGAGTACTTCGCTTTTAGTTATCGATCCAATAATGACATGAAAAATCCTATTTAATGATTTAAATTTAGAACTACATAGTTTTGTATTGTCTCAATGTGAAGTTTTCGTTCGTTATTCTACAATATGTTCTTATGTACTTCAATCTTTTCAAAGTAGTGCTGGTGTACGATAAAAAAAAACAGATGTAATCCAGGTTACATGTAATCCAATACTCTGCAGCTGTGGTTACAACACCACTCACAGCTTTATCTGCCATCATAATTCGATATAGTTCAATCGTTTGCATTACCATTATATTTAATTTACTTTTATATCGATTACTTAATTACGTGTTTGGTGTGAATCCAGCATTACGAGATCACAATTCCTCATCTAATTTAGATTTAAAACAGGAGCCGCAGTGAAAAGAAAAACAAGCAATGACCTGATCCTCAACACACACACACACACGCACACGCACACACACACACACACACACACACAATGTCCTTTACTACACCACACGAGTGTAAAGCGAGATGTGCGTCTTTCTACAAATGATTGGAGCGACTGAAGTTCAGAGTTCAGAGAAGCAGTCGGACAGTAACATCGTCACAGGAGGAAAAATAAAAGCCATCTTCCTTGCACCTTCCCAAGAGTCACTGCGGTCCAGTCTCAGGAGGAAACCGTGCACAGACGCAATGGGATGTGTGTTTGGCTTGGATGGAGGACTGCTGGACGGTGGAGGAGCGCCGGACGGTTCAGTTGCTCTCGAACAGAGCCAGCAGATCATCGTTACTGTTATTGGGAAGATCTGGAGGACCCAAGTAGGACAGCAGCTCATCTGGGTTCGTCAGCTCTGGGAGAAGCTGGAAGACAAAGAGGAAAACACACAAGATGTCAATTAGATGTGTGCGAAAAACCGGAATATCGCATAAAACATCAGCGAATAAAGCAGCGTTTCCATCTAATGTGAAAACAAATCATCAGCTGCTGATAAACTTGCACAGATATCGATCAGAGAAGTGGAGTTGAGTGTTAGGAGGAGTTACTGTGGTGTTTTTCTTCCCTAAAAAATGAGCTGCGCATCAGAAGACGAAGACCAAACAATGAATGTTTCTCAAAGAAAGAAAAGTTTATGCACACATAAGTGTCTTTATTCCAGGCCTTTCTTCACAAGCTAAAAGTCACGAGCTTCTCTCTGGCCTTTTCTACACATCAGATCTTCTGATTGGGTCAGAAATTGGTGCGTTTGTTGATGAGACTCAGGGTGAGTGTAAAAGCTTTTTACTTTGAGTCTGTTCAAGTGTCTTCCCAAATTAGCTAATGAAAAAGATGCGTGCACAAGATTACACCCCCCTACAGAATAAGTATAAAATTGTCATGTTTTTGTTTTTGTTATATTATTGTTAAACTCTATACTTTCAATCTAAAGATTGTGATGTCTGATTGATCAAATGACATTAATTATATGAGACACAAAAAGCCACTTGATTACTCTGACGTTCTGATGCTAAATGGCCCGTTTCCACTTAGTGGTACGGTGTGGTTCGGTACACTTTTATGGCCGTTTCCACTGTAAAGGGTATCTAAAAGCGCACCCTACCACTTTTTAGTCACCCTTTGCAAATTGGGCCAACTGCTACCATAATGCGGAGCTAGACATGCAGATGAATGCTATTGGTTTACAGATATACGTCGCGACTGGAGAAGAAAGTTGGAGAATGAAAACAAAGGAAGCTCCATTTTTAAATACACAGCCGAGACATTACACTGTTATAATATATACATATAATAATGAGCCATGGTCGACTCAAGCTTAAACAAACCTTGTCGTTGTCTTGATGAACAGCCACAAAGCCAAGAACAAAATCTGCCGTGTCCTGTTGTTGTTTTACGAGCCTGTCTAAGCGTGAGCAGTTTCACGTTCTCTAGAGAGCTCGCAGCGCATCTATATTTGAAGGAACAAACGTTTTGAGCTCATATTAATAATGTGCACGTGATCATTAAATCGCTCAGATATCTGATCCTGTCAAAACGAGACAAACGCGAGAGTGAAGCGCGTAAAAACAAAGGAGAAACCGGAAAACAGCGGCCAATGATGCGTCTGCAACCTACAACATGAACACACTGCCATGTTTAACTATTATCATCAGCTTCTGGACTATTCTAAACTCTGAATGATGGAGTTACTCTCTAACAGAGTCTACATGTGCTGCTGAAGACTACACACAGAGGAGAGGTCTGCTCTGACTGTGGGCTATATTGTGTGTTGTTTTTAAACCTAAATAAGGACTAAATGTCTGCTGCGTGTAGTTTATCTGTAATTGGTATCACACCAGAGACTGAAAGGGTCTGTGTGTGTTCATATATGTTCATTTATTTATTTATTTTATACAACTGCAGACGTTACAGTAGGCTATTTCGCTATTGATCTGCTGTTATGATCAAATCATGTCGATGAAAGGTTAGTGATGAACATTTATACAGAAGTATTTATGTGTAAAGCATCTGGACCAGCTGGAGGAGCTTTGCCTGAACTCACTGCTCAACGAGAGACAATCTGTGGGTATGACTATGTAGGCACACTATGTATGCATGACTATAAAACTGCCTAAATATCGAATATGAAACTGATTAAATGTTGATTCATGTTTTTAATATACTTGTATTGATTATAAATTGGTTCGCATAAGACATGAACTCAAGCAGGATTTTTGAACGTTTGATTTAAACGCATTAAGGGCGTGTCAGAATCCACTTTTGCTATTTTAAGAATGGAAAAATCAGCTTTGTGCCGTGGTGCATGGTCTAACAGGGTTGAGCTTATTCTCTTAATGAGTTATAGGTGTGTTTTGAGAATAAACCAATCAGAGTCTCATCTCTCATTCCCTTTAAAGCCAGGTTTATACTTCTGCGTCAAGTGACCGGCGTAACTCACGGCGCAGGCAACGCGCGCAGCTGTGCATTTATATTTTTTTTGCGCGCTGTCTTTGTTGGTCTGCATTAACACTTCCGAAACACTAGTGGGCAGTGAGGTGTAAATGTTCCTCTGTGTCGAGTTTCTTCGCTTCTGTTTTGCTTTTCCTGAACACTTGCTGGTTGTACAAGTGACTCAAACTCGCTCATTTTGAGGCAGGAACCGGCGGACGTGCAACAACTTTAACTATACTATACTATACTAACTAAACACAAAACAAAACTTTCCATCCGGAGCTCCTTCACGGGACTCCACACTTGTAAACAATCGCTCCATTGGGCTCGCGTCCAGCTCGTGCCATTCACGCGGCTCTCGGTCCTGCCCAGACTCGTCAGCGCTACCAAGCCACCCAATCACAGAGCTTGCGCTACGCGTCGTTGCGACGTGTAGTAACAATTTTTGAGAGGTGCACATCAGCGACGCCGACGGCGAAGGGCTATGCGTCAGCACCGTAGCATACGCCGGCGTTTGACGCAGAAGTATAAATCAGCCTTAAGAGTCAGTTGTGTTGCGCCATAGCGTATTTGCTATTTACATGACGACTAAAACTGAACGCTTCACTAGAGAGAAAACAGTTGAACAGAGCATCCGCAGCGCGAGAACGAGAGATGAGGCCTCCTCATTATCTACTTTCACTCTCGTGGATAGGGAAATGTGTTGTACACAGACATCCATTAGCCTACATAATTAATTTAGTTTGTTAAGCGCAAAGATTTGTTTCAAAACTATTTCTAGATCAGTTCTAATTTCCAGCAAAGGAATAAATAAACAATAATAACAAAGTGTGCTCAAAAACCCGAGATATATCCTAATACACATGCTGTGCCCCATATGGTCTAAAACCTGGCAGGTGGGCAAATCTAAGCTTGTTTTTAATAAAACAAATATAAATATGGATATAATAAATAATACTGCTAATATTAATAACATTATATTTAAGTGTGGCGCACAACTAACATGCTCTGCGCTGGTCTTCAGACCTCCTCTCTGCTGGTCTATTAAACAGTCTATTATATGTATTTGCAGAATAAAACCCTTCAGTCTTACTCAACAGCTGCTAATAAACCTCTTAGGCTATATTCTGCAATAACTAACAGCTGGATGTGCTTTATTCATTACCTATTATAAATCTGCACGGATGACTGATTGTGACTTACATCGAGGGCTGGCTCTGAAACATCGCCTGGTCCCCCAGGGGCCCCGAGTCCGAAGCTATCTGTGTGCATGCGGGGATTCTGGGAGGGCCCACGGGAGTGCATCGGGGCCCCGGGACCCATGCTGGAGCTCCCGTGGAGAGCCTGATGCTGCTGCTGTTGCTGCTGCAGGGGATTGTGGGAAGGATCCATGCGACTAGAGTGAGGCATCTTTATTGGAGAGAGAAAAAGAGAGTGAGTAAAGCTGGAAAACACACTCAATCTGTGCTTAGAGCAGGTGTGATGCTGAAGAGCAGCAGCTGCAGGTGACACACACACACGCACACACGCAACATATATATATATAGACAGATAGACGATATATAAACAGAAAGACAGATATATAGACAAATAGTTAGATGATATATAGACAGACGGATAGATATATAGACAAATGGATAGATATATAGACAAACAGACAGATGATATATATAGACAGATGGATATATAGACAGTCGGACATATGGATGGATATAAAGACAGACAGATAGACAGAGGGATATTATATAGACAGATGGATAGATATATAGATAGACAATATATAGACAGACAGACAGACAGATGAATATATAGGTATATAGACAGACGGATAGATATAAAGACAGATGAATAGACAGGGATATATAGACAGACGGATAGACATATAGATAGACAATATATAGACAGACAGATGAATATATAGACAGACAATATATAAAAAGACAGAGATAAATATACAGATACATATATACAAACAGATAGATATATAGATATAGATAGACAATATATAGACAGACAGACAGACAGATATACAGACTATATTTAAACAGTCAGACTGATATATACATAGACAGAGAGATATATAGACAGACAGATAGATATATAATCAAACAGATAAATATATAGACAAACACATAGATGATATATAGGCAGACGAATACATATACAGTCGGATAGACATAGACAGACATACAGATGGATATAAAGACAAACGGATAGACAGAGGGATATTATATAGACAGATGGATAGATATATAGATAGACAATATATAGACAGACAGACCGATGGATATATAAATAGACTGATAGATATATAGTCAGAAAGACAGATATATAGACAGACATGTATATTGGCAGACAGAAAAATATATAGGCAGCGATATATATAGAGAAACAGATGCAGATGATATATAGACAGACGAATTTATAGACAGTCAGATAGATATATAGACAGATAGAAGGATGGATATAAAGACAGACAGATAGACAGAGTGATATATAGACAGATATATAGATACAGAATATATAGATAGACAGATAGTTATATAGATAGACAATATGTAAACAGACAGACGGATATATAGATAGACTGATAGATATATAGACAGACGGATAAAGACAGAAAGACAGATAAAAAGACAGACTTATATATGGCAGACAGAAAAATAGAGATATAAATAAATAGACGGATAGATATATAGACAAACGGATAGGTATATAAACAGACAGATGATATATAAACAGTCAGATGTATATATAGACAATGTCAGTTATATAGACAGAAAGACGGATATATAGACAGACATAAATTAACAGACGAAAAAATATATAGACAGCATGATAGATATATAGACAAACGAAAAGATATATAGACAGATGGATAGACAGACAGGCTTATATACACACACACACACACACACAAACACACACACACACACACACACAAACACACACACAAACACACACACACACACACACACACACACACACACACACACACACACACACACACACACACAAACACACACACACACACACACACACACACAAACAGATAGATAGATATATAGACAGATAGCTAGCCATATAGACAGACAGATGAATATACAGATATATAGGCACACCTGTCCGGGCATTGGGTGTCCCACAGGTTTCTCGGGGGTCAGCAGTCCGCTGGGCAGGTCAGACTGGTAAGACAGGGGTGGGGGGCCAGGGGTGAACTCCCCCAGGGTCGGGGTGCCGGGGGCGTTGGGGAAATCTGAAAAGCCTGGCTGGCTGGAGTATCCCGAACCACCTGAGAAACACACCGCAGATATACATCAATGCATCTCACACACAGCTCCTCAATACAGCTTACTGAGGCCTGCATCAGCATGTGTGACGCTGCAAAAACATCAGACAGTCACTAAATCAGAGCTGAACATCAAGATCTGCAGTCAATATCTGATCCAAGATGGCGGCGCAGTCAGACACAGTGGCTACTCAAAGTTCTAAAGATGGTGCTTTTATCCTTTAACGCCGTCTCTTGGTCTCTAAATCAAGCATGTGATCAGCCCAGGCCAAAAAAAAGAAAGAAGACGAGAATAAATGATCTCCTGTAGAATTTATGTCTTTAAAATAATCTATGAAAGGTCATCAGATCTGATCAAACGTGTCTTCTTTCTCTTTTTTAGGGAGACTCTGATTTTCTCCAGTTCCACCCTGCTGAAAAACCCAGCTTAAACCAGCCTAGGCTGGTTGGCTGGTTTTAGCTGGTCAACCAGGCTGGTTTTAGAGGGGTTTTGGCCACTTCAAGGCTGGTTTCCAGCCATTTCCAGCCTGGTCTTAACTGGTCAGGCTGGGAGATGACCAGCTAAAATCAGCTTGACCAGCCTAGCCAGGCTGAGAGCCCAGCCAAAACCAGCTATGTCCAGCTTAAACCAGGCTGGTCAAGCAGGTTTTAGCTGGATTTGGCTGGTCATTTTCCAGGCTGACCAGCTAAGACCAGGCTGGAGATGGCTGGAAATCAGCCTGGAAATGGCCAAAACCCCTCTAAAACCAGCCTGGTCAACCAGCTAAAACCAGCCAACCAGCCTAGGCTGGTTTAAGCTGGATTTTTCAGCAGGGCAATGTTCTCATCCCTCATCAGATGTGGATATATGTAGGAGAAGCTTTCTGTTTCCAGTTTACATGCACATTTTAATGAAATAGTCTTTACTATTACAGATTGATTATTAAATTTAGAATAGTTACAATATTTTAAAATCGTCTTATGTCCAGTGTTGTTTTATTTATTAGGGATGTCCAGATCCGATCACGTGAACGGAAATCAGGCCGGATCATGCGGTTTCAGACGTTACCTCCCGATCAGGATATATGCACATCTCATTATTATTTAACACATCTACAGTTATGCGGAGCACAGAGTTAGACCTCTCTCTGTCTTGACTTCACACAGAAACAGCACCGTGTGCGGCCTGACATCACTTTACTGCAGAGACGCTATTGGTTAAACACTGGCAAAGCAGAAGACAGAAGTAGCTTAAAGTGGACAGCGCGAGTGTGTCTGTGGTCTAGAGGTATTATGAAGTTGATGATGACAACTTTGTCATATCAGATTGTGAGATATGTTATTATTTGTTTTTATATTAGATCTGATCGGGACATTCCTAGTGTTTATGATCAGGTTTCTTCATGTAGCACCGTGGTCCTGTCCAGAGTTTATCCACACATGAAGCAGTTAGACAATAAAGCTCGACATCACTTGACTAATAGGTTTTAGTTTGTTTTCATCATGCACGCACACACACACACACACACACACACACACACACACACACACACACACACCTTGGCTGGGATAGTCGGGCGTGCTGCTGCTGCCCCCTGCTGGCAGACTCTGGTAGGGCGAGGATGCGGGACCCAGCGCTGCGATCATCTCCATCACGCTGGGCAGGATCATGTGACTGGGGCTCAGGGTTCGACAGCGCTTCAGGGCCGGCCCGTCCGGATCCTCCTTAATGTGCAGGTCTGGTTTAACCGGGACAGGCTTCCAGCTGCACACCGGGTCAATGGTGATCTCCTCATAGTCTGAACTGAACACACACAGAGAAAGAGGATCAACAACTGAACATACACAATCCGCTAGACACATGCACTGCAAAAAAACCTTGCAATGCCTAGTTCTAGTCCAATATCTCAAAATCAAGACGGATTTTCTAGATAAGTGCAAAAATATAGTGCTGTTTTCAGAAATAATGAGCCAAAATGAAGAGGTTTACCTTAAAACAAGCAAAATAATCTGACAATGGAGGAAGAGAAGTAAACTTAACTCAAACTGGAAACAAGCTAGCTTCATTGGCAGATTATTTTGCTTGTTTTAATTAAAAACTCACTGCAGTTTGATTTATTATTTCTGAAAACAGCACTACATTTTTGCACTTGTCTAAAAAGTTTTATTTTGCACATGTCTTGCTTTTTTACTTAAGAATTTTTAGATATTTGGACTAAAAACAAGACAAAATCTCTCAATAAGAAGAGCTTTTTTCCCAGTATAATTTATTTTGCAGCTTTAAGTTATAAGAGTCTACATCAGCGGTGTCCAAACTCTGTCCTGCAGGGCCGGTGTCCTGCAAAGTTTAGATCCAACCCCTGGGCTAGCCAATCACCTGGGCTAGCCAATCAAGCTCTTACTAGGCTTTCTAGAAACATCTGTGCAGGTGTGTTGAGGCAAGTGCGAGCTAAAACCTGCAGGACAGACTTTGGACACCTCTGTCCTACATCGTTATAAAATCTTCAGCAATTAATCGTAACTAAAACATCTGATACCGGCAGAAATCTAAATACAACAGTGATTAATCTGACCTACAGTTTTCAACATTCAGCAACTCAACAGTGTTTAGACGAGACAGACGTTAAGATTATTGACAAGAAAACCTTCTGATGGTGTAAACAAACTCAAGTAAAGAAAAAAAGCTTACTTCTGAATGTAGATCAAGATGCCCAACATGTACTGGTCCACCTCCAGCCCCTCCAGCAGAGCGGTTTTACTGCAGACAACACAAGAGCTCGAATAAATCTAAACACATCAGCTTATACTGCATGAAGAGATGAACGGCAAATACTTAAAACCCTCAAGTTTAGAATTTATTTCAGACAGCAGAACTCCTCAATATTCAACATAAACATGATTTACTTCATTTTAAAAGCACAATAAAATAGCAAGAAGATTAACAGCAACAACAATGTGTAGAGAAATATAGCTGAAATGTTTATTCTCTCTCAGATATTAATGATGTTGAACAGATTCAGAGCTTTTTCTACAGTGTTTCCTCTAATATTTTTAATTGTTTTATTTGGGCTAGAATAAAAGCAGTTTTTAATTGTTTTAAACTCATTTTAAGCTCAATATTATTGGCCCCTTCAGCAATATTAGTGTTGGATTGTCTCCAGAACAAACCACTGTTATACAATGACTTGCCTAATTACCCTAACTTTACCCTAATTACCCTAGTGAAGCCTTTACATGTCACTGTAAGCTGAACACTGGTGTCTTGAAGAATATCTAGACTAATATTATGTGCTGTCATCATGGAGAAGAGGAAATAAATCAGTTATTAGAGATGAGTTATTAACACTATTATGATTAACATGTAGAAATAAATCTCTCCATTAAACAGCACTTAAAAATATTAAAATAATTACAATTTCACAGGAGGCCTAATCATATCAGTATTATTCATCTCATTTTCATCCGCTTTTCAGGGGCCGTGCCGCAAAGGCAGCAGTCTTAGGAGAAAACCCCAGACTTCCCTCTCTCCAGACACTTCCTACAGCTCCTCCAGGGGGATCCCAAGGCTTTCCCAGGCCAGCTGAGAGACATAGTCCCTCCAGCATGTCCTGGATCATCCCGGTGGGCATGCTGGGAACAGCTCCCTAGGTAGATGCCCGAGCCACCTCAGCTGACTTCTGTGGATGTGGAGGAGCAGCGGCTCTACTCCGAGCTCCTCAAAGGTGTCCGAGCTCCTCACCCTGTCTATAAGAGAGCGCCCTGCCACCCTGAGGAGGACACTCATTTCGCTGTTGTATCCGAGATCTTGTTCTTTCAGTCATGACCCAAAGCTCATGAGCATAGGTGAGAGTAGAAACGTAGAGTGACCAGTAAATCGAGAGCTTTGCCTTTCGGCTCAGCTCCTTCTTTACCACAACAGACCGGTACATCAACCGCATTACTGCACCAATCCGCCTGTCAATCCAATGCTCCCTCCTTCCCTCACTCTTGAACAAAACCCTGAGATACTTGAACTCCTCCACCTGGGGTAAGGACTTTCCTCCAACCTGAAGATGGCAGACCACCTTTTTCCGGTGGAGCACCATAGCCTCGAACTTTGAGGTTCTGATGCTGTGATGTAGCCCGGTATGACACCGCCGGGGCCCCACCCTGAAGCCAGACCTGGGATTGGGGATCCCAAAGGAGCAACGTGGGACCATCCTCTTGCAGGCCCACCACCTGCAGGGGGAGCCGTAAGGGGCCAGAGCATAGTGGAACGGGCAGTGGTCAAAGGTTAGGACCATGACAACCCGATTGTCAGGCACAGATACTGGCTCTTGGCACATGGGATGAAAATAGTTTTAGCAATAATTTAATATTAATACTTCAATACTTTCCCCTCTTTCTATTGTGTGATTTACATATAGGCTGTGGAAAACATCAGCATGTTGCTCTATGTTGCTGCTGTTGTGTTTGTTTGCTCATTGTTCTGTAACCTCTATTGTCATTTTGCCAGAGTCAATAATAAACACAGAAAAGGAGGATAAAAGCAGGAGGAGTTTCTCACTTGCACACAGGACAGCGCCAGGTTCCTCTCTCACAGTTGAGCTGCAGGTACGACTCCAGGTCAAAACACTGCGGGAAACACACATTATTAGCACAGAAGCTCACCCACAGCAGTAATATGGCATAAAACAACAATAAACAAATACAAAATAAATTAAATGGATATATAAGTGAATGTATTGTTCCTCTCACAGAAGGTAAACCAGGCAATGTTCAGTTGTTCGTGCATGTAAAAATAAATCTCTCAAAAGATATTTTAAAGGGTCATAGAAGGTTACTGATGGGAAGACGAGCGCTGTTTAGCCAGAAAGAGTGAGCTGAAACCGTCTCTGAGGTTTTGTTCATTTAGCCTATTTTGTAAGATCACAGTAATTTGAATATTTGTTTTATATTTATTAGTGCTGTCAAAATTAATGCGTTAAACGCATGCCATTAATTTGAAATATTTAATGCGTTAAAGAAAATGAACGCAATTAACACATTTTTTTCCCTGTTGTGGCCGATGTGTTCAACATGCAAAGAAATATGGATAAGACCAAGGAAGCACTTTTAGAAGGACAGTTTCAGTATGAAACAATGTCGCATCACCAGGCTCTCCAGCGTCTCCTCCAGAGTTTCATATAATTTCGTATGTTTCATTTTTAATCTATCGACTTCTGTTTTGATGTAATTTGACACCGCATGGCGAACGGAAAGAAAAACTTCCGCAGTTCGTGACTCGGTGGTCCTTTAGGTAATCAAAAATCACTGCTTACATGGTCGACTCTTAATCAGAGTATTATCTTAATCATATTAAAAGCGGAGTATTGGTGTCCATGTAAATGTACTCAGTGAAACTCAGATGATGTCGCGATTCTGTTGTGTTTCCCCCGTAAACGCAAGTTTTGTAAAGCGGCTGCTTTGCGTTGTTGTGTCAGAATCCTTGTGAAATACAGCCATACTTTAGAACGCTTAGTTTAAGCAAAGTTGATGAACACGATCATGCGTGATGAATCTGAAGGGAGTCACTCTGGCTGTGCTATCCTGCGCGTATAGTGTGTGTGTGTGTGTGTGTGTGTGTGTGTGTGTGTGTGTGAGTGTGTGTGTCTTTCCTAGCAACAAGAACAAATGCCTAAGCATCACAGTTTTCACCGTCCATATCCCTTAAAATTGTTTAAATGTTTAGAGAGGGTGTGACCAAAGTCCCTGTTAGAATTAGTCTTTGGTGTGACACAACCTGTATGTGCCTTTGATGTACCGCTTGATGCTTCTTACGTCCTTGTCGCAGCACCAGTGGCAACAAAATTAGGCATCGAAATGCATATGCTGATTCAGTGATCCTCCTTGTGAGAGACTGTTTTCACTCTCCGCTCACATCATTCAAAAGAAAAGGTCCACATTGTCCCCAGATAATGTCAACAGACTGGACTGTCTTAGCGACTGGCTGAATGTAAAGGAGGACTGAGCAAAACTGTTTCTACTTCATAATTAATATTCTCAACTTACAGCAATACAACTTTACAATGAATATTGAAAATCAATACTCATAATCAATTGATTGTATTTAATACTTTATTATTATTATTATAATTTTTCATTTTCCATATCTGTAATTCCTGTATTTTGTATTTTATTTGCAGTCCACTTAGAATCCAACATGGAAATCAGTGTTTTCTTTATCGGCATTGATTGTTTTGAAATTCAGATGTCATTAACATGCCTGTGATTTTATTTCTGCAATAAATATTGCTGTCAGACAGGATCTTGAGTGTTTATTGTGGGTTTGTTGTTTTCATGAAGAAATCTGTGTTACAAGTTAAACAAAAATTCTAATAAACAATTATATTTAGAATTTAAATAGTTTTGTCTTGCGTTTACATTAATTTTACATTTAAATAAACAAAATTACAAGTTTCAGGCTTTTAAATGCGATTAATCACAGTAATATTATTTATATATTGTTCTGTTAAAAAAAATATATATATTTTTATAGCTTTTGCACGCTTCTGTGTTTCCATTAAGCTTAGTTTATGCAATAATCCAATGTGCATAAAAATGTGTGTGTGAACACAGCTACAGGTGTTGGCGTTCCCCTGCTCACCTGTATGTGTCTGCAGTCGTGTCCGCGGGCTGGAAGCTGGATCCTCCTGAACGTTATGGGACACTTGAGCGACACCTTGATGGCCGTTTGCTCCACACCATCCTCTCCGTTCAGGCCTGGGGTTCCCGGGATGGTCCCGCTGCTGAAGTTCCTCTTTACTGTGGAGGACGAGAGGTAAATTGTGCGTATAAAGTCTGATGCAGGATTCATGCTATTAACAAACCCTCAACTTAGACTATTAGCTCAACACACTGCTTTTCTTACACTGAGTTTTTGTCTCATTTCTAGTCCAAATATCTAAAGATTCTGAAAAGGAGAAGTATTTTCTGGACACGTATAAAATATAGTCTTGTTTTAGGAAATAATGAGTCAAAATGAAGTGAGTTTTTAATTAAAACAAGCAAAATAATCTGCCTATGGAGTAAGGGAAATCATGTTGTTTCAAAGGGAAAATAACATTATTTACTTGCAGCATTGGGAGATTATTAAAACTTCCATAGAAGGAATAAACAAATAAAGTGCAAGTCAACTGCTTTATATACACACACTAGATAGTGCATACAGGCCCCTGAGCATGCGTCAATAGCGCCGCCATATTGGTCAGGGCTCCCAGGACGAAAAAACTCAACCGCACTAGTCAAGACCAAAGCCAATGTGAAGATGCTGGACTGTAGTGCTGTGCACAGGTGTAGTGACAAGCAAACAAAGAAAACAAAGCATAAAGCATCACATTTCATAGGTAAGAATTAATTTCTTACGATTTTGTACGTCACAAACTTTTGTGCTAAACAAGTATCGTTATGGATGATGATGCAGTCAGCAAACAATGTAAATGAAATATGACAACAAGACGCTGATGTGCCAGAAGCTGGAATTACTGTCGGCTCAGTGAAGTAACGGCTGGTTATAGACCGTTTTCTGAAAACGCAAAATGCTTTGCGTGTATGCGCAAGGAGAATGCTAAGAACTTCTGATCGCCTGCTGATGCGTATAAACAGTCACATTTGGACTCGTGATCATAGATATGTTTCTATATTTGTATACATCTATGGCTCCAGTCAGCCACTGCACCTTAGTCCCACATTCATTTCAAAGGAGTGTGACCCTGTACCAAGATGGTGCCTCTATTGACGCATTATTTCCAATAGACAACAATAGTGTAGGTTCCATCTGGTTTATATATCCTATGCTTTTGTATCTATGCTTACTTTTGTGCTCAACAAGTACCGTTATTGATGATAATAGAGTGACTGACTGCACTGACTATAAGGCAAAGCAGCACCAACTCACACTAAATACTAAATAATGCTAGTTTTATTGAAGAAAATCAGCAAACAAGTACATAAAACAGACAACACCTTGGTCCCACCTTCATGTCAGAGGAGCATTACCCTGTACCAAGATGGTGGCTCTACTGATGCATTCCTTCCAATAGAAAATAGTGTAGGTGATATCTAGTTTTTACATCTATGCTTACGAACTTGTGTGGTAAACAAGTAATGTTATTGATGATAATACAGTCAATGCTGCACTGACTATAACGCCCAATTCACACAGGGACCTCAGCGTCAACGCTTCCCATTCACTTTGAATGGGTGACATCAGGCGTTGCTGAACTGCATTGTGGATCCGTCAGCCAATCAGATTGCTGTATGCAAATACACCAGCTAGACAGTGGCCTATTGCTCACTGAATTCCATTGGCTGACGCTGCTATGACGATCGATTTAGCCCTAACTTCAGACACGCTTTCAGTCAAGCGCTGAAGCCCCGTGTGAATGGGGCGTAAAGTAATGCAGCATTAACCTGCACTAAACACTCGGCTTATGCTAGTTTTGTTGAAGAAAATCAGCTAACAAATGTAAATGAAATCTGACAACACCTTAGTCCCACATCCATTTCAAAGGAGCATTACCCTGTACCAAGATGGCGGCTCTACTGCCGTATTTCTTCCAAAATACAACAGTGTAGCCAACATCTAGTTTTTATATCTATGGTTATGAACGTTTGTGCTCAACAAGTAACGTTATTGATGATAAAACAGTCGCTTCCTGCACTGATCATAGGGCAAAGCAGCACCAACTCGCACTAAACACTCGGCTTATGCTAGTTTTGTTGAATAAAATCAGCAAACAATGTTAATAAAATATAACAACACCTTGTTTCCAAATTAATTAATTAAAAGGAGCGTTACCCTGTACCAAGATGGTGGATCTACTGGCGCATCCCTTCCAATCTAGTGTATATATCTCTGCTTCACTACTCTACTTGGTGACCGTGTGTAAGTAAGTCTTGGCAGTGTGTAACGTGCACTCACTCTTGGTGACGCAGTGTTCGGCCGGCAGCAGCCTCTTCTTCATGAGTCCCTGCAGCACTGAGCGCACAGACGGCCGATGCACCAGCTGCAGCACGAACAGATGAGACTAGAGGACAGAACACCACACATTAGCACACAAACACGGTTCATCTTCATGTCTAGAGCTCTTTTTACTCTGTAGACTGTGTCAAAGCTGCTTAAAGTACAGATGAAGGCATTGCAGACACTTTTACTAGAGTCTGATGGTGGTGATGCATCAGTCTTACGCAGCAGCAGGCGGTGACGGTGATCTGGATGGTGTTGCGTCCTGGCTGGCACACGTGTTTCAGGTACAGGGGTTTGTGGGACGTCTTGTTGTCACCGCGCTCGATGGTCAGAGGCGTAGCATTGACGCTAACCTGCACCGACGCCGGCCAGTTAGTGTTCATCTGCCGGTCTTCATGATGGTAACACTTGAACTGCAGCTCCAGATCAGGCCTGTTGATCACACACACACACACACACACACAATATAAATGTGTAGTAAGGGAAATATACCAAAATCAGTGAAGATTTGTTGGCAGAATGTTTGGAAAGACACATGTTTTTGTAATCAGACAGTAATGTTAAAGTTAGCAGTAAGATACTGGGATAAGGTCTAGAAGGGATCCAGCTGAGGACACTTGCATCAATATAGCATGTTTTCTTTGTGACACTGTACAACAATAATTCCTATATTACTGTTCAGGTTGAGTTTAGAGTTGGGGTAGATGTTAATAAAGCACAATTAATGGGTTAATAAATAATATAAATACTTCTTGTTAACTTGTGTCTGTTGCTGTATCCCTTCTTGCAACAACTCACTCACTAGGCCACTAGTCAGTGAGTCTCCACTCCCAGTGAGCACCCAGTGGTTGTAACAGTAAGCAAAGTCTTATTTTCACAGTGTAATGAAGTAAACGCTGCAGTAAAAGCGTGCTCTGACCTCATCATGAGTGTTTTGTAGACGGAGTCGCGCAGCTGGAACACATGGTTACTGACGGCCAGGTTGTGCTCCAGTCTGAAGGGCTCCAGAACCACACCGTCTCGCACCGGGAACGTCAGACGCAGGTCATCGCTGGGGTTTCCTGAGGACGCAATCACTCACGCTTATTTGCAGATTCATGTGTACTACTAAAGCTTTTAATGAAAAAAAAAGAGCAAACCCAAACCCAGCCCATTCCAGCAAATCAAAAATAAATATTAATAACAATATATAAAAGTATAAAAATAAATAATAATAATAAATAAATATAAATATTAAAAATAAATAATAATTATAGCAATAAATAAAAATAATTATATTATATAATAATAATAGCAATAACAAATAATAATAAATGTAAATACAAAATTATATAATAATAATAATAATAATAATAAATAATAATAATAATAAATAAAGGTATAAATATAAAAATAAACAAAAAAATTTAATAGCTATACATAATAATAATAATAAGTACATATAAATACAAAAAATAAATAATAATAAAATCAATAAATAATAATATTAAATATAAATAAACATATAAAAATAGAAACAATAGCAATTAATAATAAAAACAAATTAATGTAAATGCAAAATTATATAACAATAATAGCAATAAATAATAATAAATGTAAACACACATTTATATACTAATAATAGCAAAAACAACAACAAATACAATAATAATAATCGTATAACTATAAAAATAAACAAAAAATTATAGCTATAAAATAATTAGAATAGTAATAAGTACATATAAATACAAAATAAATATTAAAAGCAATAAATAATAATAATATATATATATATAAATATAAACATAAAACATAGAAATAATAGCAATAATAAAAACAAATTAATGTAAATGCAAAATTATATAATAATAATAACAATAAATAATAATAATAAATGTAAATACAAAATTATATAATACTATTAACAACAATAAATAATAACAATAATAATAAATAAAGATATACATATAAAATAAACATAAAAATTTTATAATGGCTATAAATAATAATAATAAAAATAATAATAATAATATGCACGTATGAATACAAAAAATAAATAATAAAAATAAATCTATAATAATAATATAAACTTATGTAGAATATGTATATATATATATATATGTGCTTTATAAATAAATGAACTTGAACGTGACCCAGCATTTTTTACAGGATAAATAAAGCATAAGATATAGGTGAGTGTGTTAGAATGCAGCGGTGTGTGACCTGTAGGGGGCTGCAGAGCGCTGATGTTGGGCTTGACGTCGTGCAGAAATGGGGATTTGACGTCCTGATTGGGGGACATGTAGGGCATGGAGCTGCCGGGGGTCATGGGGGGGGTGGGGTTCCCAGGCAGAGGAGAACTGGGGTATCCTGGCATTGCTCGGCCCGGCTGCACACACACACACACACAGACAGGACAACATCAGCAACACAATGATATTGCAATATAATTAACAGATTGTAAATGTAAAGATGCAGTCATTAGTCAATTACTGTGAAATAATATATATTTTAATAATAATAGCGCACACACACACACACACACACGCACGCACGCACGCACGCACGCACAGAAATGATCAAGTTTATTTATATTTATTTATTTAAATTCTTTATTTTTGTTAATTTTAAATATTCTATTTTATTTCTATTTAATTTATTATTTTACATTTTATTAAGCTTCATTTGACTGATACTCCAGACTCAACAGTGTCCACCCAGTGATATGTCTACTGTGAATGCACAATATCAATATCTGTGTGCAATTAGTCACTCGTTTAACACATTATCTGTCCATCTTTCTGTTTACGACACATTCAGACTGAGTGGAGTTTGACCTAAAGTCCGACTGCAGCTCTCACGGCATGGTGAAATATTAACAGGCAGACTCGTGTTTCAGCACACACAGACACACACCCCGTTGACGGTGGGCTGGTTGAAGCTGCTGTATCCTCCAGTGGTCACTGCAGAGCTCAGGCTGTGGTTGTTCCCCTGACCGTTAAACTGCTCCGCCTGCTGAACAAACGACAATCATCAATCATCAGCTTCACGAACACAACAAACATAAGATCTGATCACACTGACGCTAGCACACTGATCACCACTACAACACTGAGAACGCCAAAACGTGATCCGCAAAAGAGACAAAGCACACCCGCAAGCAGAGGATCCACTTCTGAAGGACGGAAGAAAAACTAAATCAACACTTGAGTGGCCTGGTCAAAGCCCTGATCTAAACCCAATTGAGAAGCTGTAGCCTGACCTCAAAATTAGATTTGAATAAACAACATTCCTGCAAAGAGGAGCACTGCACACTCATATTAAACAGCACCGGTGTCATGTGCACTCTATAGTGAACACTACACACTAATATTAAACAGCACCGGTGTCATGTGCACTCTATAGTGAACACTACACACTAATATTAAACAGCACCGGTGTCCTGTGCACTCTCTAGTGAACACTACACACTAATATTAAACAGCACCGGTGTCATGTGCACTCTATAGTGAACACTACACACTAATATTAAACAGCACCGGTGTCCTGTGCACTCTCTAGTGAACACTACACACTAATATTAAACAGCACCGGTGTCATGTGCACTCTATAGTGAACACTACACACTAATATTAAACAGCACCGGTGTCCTGTGCACTCTCTAGTGAACACTACACACTAATATTAAACAGCACCGGTGTCATGTGCACTCTCTAGTGCACACTACACAGTAATAATAAACAGCACAGGTGTTATGTGCACTCTAGTGAACACTACACAGTAATAATAAACAGCACAGGTGTTATGTGCACTCTTTAGTGAACACTACACAGTAATAATAAACAGCACAGGTGTCATGAGCACTCTATAGTGAACACTATACACTAATATTAAACAGCACCGGTGTCATGTGCACTCTCTAGTTAACACTACACACTAATATTAAACAGCACCGGTGTCCTGTGCACTCTCTAGTGAACACTACACACTAATATTAAACAGCACCGGTGTCATGTGCACTCTCTAGTGAACACTACACACTAATATTAAACAGCACCGGTGTCCTGTGCACTCTCTAGTGAACACTACACACTAATATTAAACAGCACCGGTGTCCTGTGCACTCTCTAGTGAACACTACACACTAATATTAAACAGCACCGGTGTCCTGTGCACTCTCTAGTGAACACTACACACTAATATTAAACAGCACCGGTGTCCTGTGCACTCTAGTGAACACTACACAGTAATAGTAAACAGCACAGGTGTCCTGTGCACTCTCTAGTGAACACTACACACTAATATTAAACAGCACCGGTGTCCTGTGCACTCTCTAGTGAACACTACACACTAATATTAAACAGCACCGGTGTCATGTGCACTCTCTAGTGAACACTACACACTAATATTAAACAGCACCGGTGTCCTGTGCACTCTCTAGTGAACACTACACACTAATATTAAACAGCACCGGTGTCCTGTGCACTCTCTAGTGAACACTACACACTAATATTAAACAGCACCGGTGTCCTGTGCACTCTAGTGAACACTACACAGTAATAGTAAACAGCACAGGTGTCATGTGCACTCTCTAGTGAACACTACACACTAATATTAAACAGCACAGGTGTCATGAGCACTCTAGTGAACACTACACAGTAATAGTAAACAGCACAGGTGTCATGTGCACTCTCTAGTGAACACTACACACTAATATTAAACAGCACCGGTGTCATGTGCACTCTCTAGTGCACACTACACACTAATATTAAACAGCACAGGTGTTATGTGCACTCTTTAGTGAACACTACACAGTAATAATAAACAGCACATGTGTTATGTGCACTCTCTAGTGAACACTACACACTAATATTAAACAGCACAGGTGTCCTGTGCACTCTCTAGTGAACACTACACACTAATATTAAACAGCACAGGTGTCCTGTGCACTCTCTAGTGAACACTACAGAGTAATAATAAACAGCACAGGTGTCATGAGCACTCTAGTGAAAACTACACAGTAATAATACACAGCACTGATGTTATGTTGACTCTCTAGTGAACACTACAGTAATAATACACAGCACTGATGTTATGTTGACTCTCTAGTGAACACTACAGTAATAATCCACAGCACTGATGTTATGTTGACTCTCTAGTGAACACTACAGTAATAATCCACAGCACTGATGTTATGTTGACTCTCTAGTGAACACTACAGTAATAATAAACAGCACTGATGTTATGTTGACTCTCTAGTGAACACTACAGTAATAATCCACAGCACTGATGTTATGTTGACTCTCTAGTGAACACTACAGTAATAATCCACAGCACTGATGTTATGTTGACTCTCTAGTGAACACTACAGTAATAATACACAGCACTGATGTTATGTTGACTCTCTAGTGAACACTACAGTAATAATCCACAGCACTGATGTTATGTTGACTCTCTAGTGAACACTACAGTAATAATAAACAGCACTGATGTTATGTTGACTCTCTAGTGAACACTACAGTAATAATCCACAGCACTGATGTTATGTTGACTCTCTAGTGAACACTACACAGTAATAATACACAGCACTGATGTTATGTTGACTCTCTAGTGAACACTACAGTAATAATACACAGCACTGATGTTATGTTGACTCTCTAGTGAACACTACAGTAATAATCCACAGCACTGATGTTATGTTGACTCTCTAGTGAACACTACAGTAATAATCCACCGCTGTAATTCTAAACTCGCTCTGCAATATAAACCTGCGGCTCGGTTCCTCTTTCATGAGGACTTCCAAAATCTCGACGACTCGTTGTCTCTTGAAAGTTCACTGTCAGTATCAGATGCTAGTGCACTTCTCTAAAACACACTAGCACACACAATAACACCGGCTCATCAGGAAACAGCATGTGCTAATCAGAGCTGTCCCTTTATCACGTTTCTATAATCATAAAAATATTGTAACAATAAAAATCATCAAGAGCAATAAACAATAAAAGAACAAGATCAAATACATAAATAATAATAATAATGATTAAAAATTAGTGTGTTGAGGTTTACTCTTGATAAACATGGTGGTACTGTGGTAAATGTGTGTACCTTGTAGTATTGGCTGGGGTTTCCTGGTCCTGCAGGATACTGGGCCATACTGGGCTGCTGGAGCGGCATGCGGTGTGTGGGGTATGATGGGGACGGGGCAGAGCGCTGGGGCCCGGGGCCGTGATACTGCATGGGCTGCCCAGGGTACGGTCCCCCACCGCCCATCCCGGGGCCGTACTGCTGACCCGGAAAACCCTGCAGGAAAACAACAGTCATTCCCGGACGGTCATTCTCGGCTGCACATGATCACTGGTTTAGGATAGATTTTATAAGATTATTTTTTAAATATTTCTTTGAGTGCGTCTCAATCAGCACCCTTGTTCACTAGTCAGTGCACTGATCAGGTCACCAGCCATTGTAAGTGGAGTCTCATTTAAAAGCAGGGGTAACTCTTCTGACAATCTGTGCTAACGATAGATATTTAAAGCTGGAAAAATGCGCCACTGGCACGGTGGCTCAGTTGTCATTTCTGTGTGGAGTTTGCATGTTCTCCCTGTGTTGGCGTGGGTTTCCTACAGGTGCTCTGGTTTCCCCCACAGCCTAAACACATGCGCTATAGGGGAACTGATCAAGTAAACTGAACAGTGTGTGTGTGAGAATGAGTGTGCATGGGTGTTTTCCAGTACTGGGTTGCAGCTGCTGTGTAAAACATATGTGGGAATAGTTGGCGGTTCATTCCGCGGTGGCGATCTCTGAAATAGAGACCAATCCAAAGGAAAAATGAATGAATGAACGCAAATGCGCTCCTCGCATGCCTACACCTGAACTGAAGGTGGAAGTTCACTCTGATAGACATTTGGAGCTGAACTGATGCGCTACCCCTGTTTTATTTTGGATGAAACAGGACAGACTGAGCTACTGCTAGCACATTATGAGGAGGTAGCACAGATCTCCGCACCCACCTCAGAGTTGTACGGGCGTTTGAGGGCCTGCTGGTGGCGCGGCGGCCCCTGCTGACTCCCTGGGTATCCGGGGTGCTGCGGGAGCCTCTGGCCCTGCTGTGTGTACATGGGGCCCATAGAGGGGGGTCTGGAGCCCACCATCCCAGAGGGGGACATCCCTGGGGGCCCACGAGGGCCGGAGTGAGACAGGAACTGGGTGTTGTAGGAGGACGCTCCGCCCATCTGCAGAGACAAAGACAGGGACAAATTGATTACATTTATTGAAATAAGATTAAAGGAATATGCAGTGTTGATCATGACGGAGTCTCGCAGATCTCTGTTACAGGAATATTCTCTCCGGGATGCTGCACAGTAATATATGTTTATTACTGTGCAGATTAGGGATGCTCATTTTGGTTAATTTTGCTAACCGACAACCGCCGCTCATTAATCGGTTATTAACGGTTAACTGGTCAGATTACTATTAATTTTATATTAAACAAATTGACGTGTCTATTTTGTGTCTGATACATTAAATATTGCATTTTAAAATACTGATTTATTTTATATGCTAGCATATTAATAATAGAACATAACAACAGAGCATCTTCACGCACCTGCAGTGTTTAGCACAGAAGAGCAGAATAAACTAAATAATAAATAAATAATATAGGACTATATAATGAATAAATAAATAGGACTGCCCTAAATTATTTTCACTTAAATAATTAATTTATATTACAAATCGAAAACACTGACTGATTATTTTTAATAACCGGCATAGGCTGTTTTTTTCCAATCATATGTTTTTTTCTTCCGTCAAATAAGAATAGCAGACTTCCTCAAATCGCTCGCTCTATGGAAAATATGCATTTATTTAATGCCCTGCTGTTATTATAATAATCACAAAACCTTTTACATTTTTAATAGAAATCATTATTTTAAAGATTATGTCTTGCTATATGGTTTCCTCTCTCTCCATCGCGGTTCAAGTGCGCGCTGCGTGATGAAAAGACAACAACACGCGCACATATGTTGACTCTTTGTAAACAGTTGTGTTGTTTAAATATGATATTGCATTAATGTGCATACATGCTTTATAAGGTGTAAAATAAAAGGTAAAGCCTATTTGTTGCGTTTATGACGCAGATCCAGGTCAACATCAGCCGAAATGGCATCAGGGCTGAAAAGGCGCACCTCACTGCCTTTATGTTGACAAGGAAAACAGAAGAGAAGAGGCGTGGTCCTCTTATGAAGCGACTGAATCAGCTGGGTATCGATTGTGCAAAAGTGTTGCTGTATATGTTGATAAAATTGTAATATTTAATAATATTATGATATTCAAGATTTGTACATTCATACAGCTCTGGATAACTTAAAACAGCGATCAGACCTTCAGAGCGGCATTAATGCGTCCTGAAGTAAAGCGAAACAGCTATAAACTCCAGCAAGATAGAGTGATTATATGCAGAGCCATACTTTATCTATAAATAAAGTATAACTATAGACCTGTGTTCATCTTAACTGAAAGCTTCGTCGAGTTTGTCAGTCAGTCAGCACGTAACGCCAAAGGATTAAACAGATTAAACCAGCCTGATCTCACTAGGAAACGTAAGTATTTTACGTTTTGTCAGTTTAGTGGCTAATTCGTACGAATTTGTACGAGTTCAGTCGTACGAAATGGTACGATTTTAAAAAGGAGGCGTGGCACCTGACCCCACCCCTAACCCTAACCGTCATTGGGGGATGAGCAAATCGTAGTAACTTGTACGAATAAGATCGTACGAATTCATACGAATTAGCCACTAAATGAAAAAGTTATGAATTGCCGTGAGATTGTGTTGGATTAAACACAGCACTCTACGGTTACAGAAAAGTTTGCGCTGTTATAATTCACTTACCTTTTAATATGTTTTGATGGGATTATAATCCGCTATTAAAAACAACAACAACAATGACTGAATGTTTTGAACGGGTAATGTAGCCGTGGCGGGATGCGTTTTGTTCCCCGCCATGGAAGAATGAATGTAGCGGAAACCAAGCTCTTTAAAAGTTCTCTGTAGTTGTCTTGACAACACAAACTGCTGCTCTGGGATGAGCCGCGTGCAAAAGATGCCCCTCTTAACGCAAAGGCGCATTCAATCAGCCCCTTATTCAGCCAAACTAAAAATATATAAAATAATAATTTTAATCGTTTAACTGATAGCATTAATCGGTCACAAACGCACCCTTTCGGTTAACGGTTAATCAATTATTTTGAGCATCCCTAGTGCAGATACATTATACTAGTCAGAACCGAAGACAAAACTGATCAACTCATCTAACAAAAGCACTGAGGATCACAGAGCAAACATCACTGCACACTAATGAGTTTGGGGTAATTATTAAATACAATTTAATAAACAGGGGAAAAAAATCAAGAGAAACATAAAAAAGTCTCAAATGTAGTTAATATGCCCTTCTACCTGCAACCCAGCACTGGGAAACACCCATACACACTCATTCACACACACACACACACACACACACACACACACACACACACACACACACACACACACTCATACACTACGGCCAGTGTAGTTGATCAGTTCCACTATAGTGCATGTGTTTGGACTGTGGGGGAAACCGGAGCACCCGGAGGAAACCCACGCCAACACGGTGAGAACATGCAAACTCCACACAGAAACACTTACTGACCCAGCCAGGGCTCAAATGCACTACTATTTAGTATAAGTGTATAAGAAAGTGATTTGGGATGCAGCAATAGTATTTGATTTGCTACTACTATAGAAGTCAATGGTTACAGGTTTTCAGCATTCTTTAAAATATCTGCTAAGAGGGAGAGTAAAGAGTGAGAGCATTTGAATGTTTGGGTGAACTAACCCTTTAAACATCTTCAGATATGAACTCACTCACACCCTCACACACACACTCTCATACACACACACACACCCTTCAGAATCAGTGGCGGGTAACAATGGCTGGATCTGTGCCTGCTGCCCTGACTTTCAGCCCTAGGCATGATGGGAAACGGCAACTAGGTCACCGGCGTAAACAATCAATCCTGTGTGGCTGTGATGTGTGTGTGGATAAAGCTGCATGTGCAATCTGCTGGAAGAAGCAGGAGAAAACACTGCGCTGGTCTTTTGAAGTATAATAATGAAAGACATGCTGCTGCAATGGAGAGGGTTTCATCTGCATCCATCCAGCAGGAGGAGACAAAGAGCACAGCAGGAGGAGGAGGAAGAGGAGGAGTCACTGCGTCAACGTCAATGATGGAGGCCAACAAGACGTACATGAATAAATAAACAGAAAATGGGGCAATGACTATCTGTCCATCTACCCATCAATTCTCAAATAATCTCAATCTGTCTATCCATCTATCTATCTGTCCGTCCGTCCGTCCGTCCATCCATCCACCCACCCACCGACCCATCCACCCACCCACCCATCCATCCATCCATCCATCCATCAATTCTCAAATAATCTCAATCTGTCTATCCATCGATCAATCTGTCCGTCCGTCCGTCTATTCATCCATCCATCCATCCATCCATCCATCTATCTATCTATCTATCTATCTATCTATCTATCTATCTATCTATCTATCTATCTATCTATCTATCTATCTATCTATCTATCTATCTATCTATCTATCTATCTATCTATCTATCTATCCTCAAATAATCTCAATCTTTCTATCCGTCTATCTATCTGTCCGTCTGTCCATCCATCCATCCATCCTCAAATAATCTCAATCTGTTTATCTGTCCGTCCATCCATTCATATCCATGCATCCATCTATCTATCTATCAATCCACTCTCAAATAATCTCAATCTGTCTGTCTGCCTGTTCATCCATCCATCCATCCATCCATCCATCCATCCATCCATCCATCCATCCATCTATCTATCTATCTATCTATCTATCTATCTATCTATCTATCTATCTATCTATCTATCTATCTATCTATCTATCTATCTATCTATCTATCTATCTATCTATCTATCTATCTATTCTCAAATAATCTAAATCTGTCCATCTATCAGTCTGTCTGTCTATCCATTCGTCTGTTTGTCTGTCTGCCCATCCATCTGTTCATACATCTATTCAGCTGTCCATCAATTCCTCTATCATTTAAGCTCGATCTGTCCATCTATCCATTTGTTCATACATCTATCCATTCGTCCATATATCGCTCTATCATTTAATCTCAATCTTTTCATCCGTCTGTCCATCTGCCCATCCATCCATTCATACATAAGTCTATCCATACACCCATCCATCCCTCTATCATCATTTAATCTTGATCTGTCTATCTATCCATTCATCCATTTATCCCTCTATCATTTTATCTTGATCTGTCTATCTGTCCATCTTAGCATCCAACTGTCTGTGCATTCGTCTATCATCATTTAATCATGATCTGTCAATTCACACGTCTATCCATCAATCTAAATCTGTCTATCGGTCTCTCCATCTTTCTATCCTCCATCAATGTTGATCTGTTTATCTATCTGTTCCGCCATCCACCTATCCTCAATATCGATCTGTCCATCCATCCAACCCTTCAACTGTCCATCCATCCCTCCCTCTACCACCATTTAATCTCGATCTCTCCATCCCTTTATTCATCTCTGTGTTTTGAAAGATATTTTGCAGAATGTTGAAGAAACACAATGTAAATCACTGTCTGCTATTGCCAGCATCCTCCTGCATATCTTCCTTCATGTCCAGCGCAAGAAAGAAACTCAAACAGGTTTAAAACAAGTGAGTGAATGACGACAGAAGTATAATTATTAGATCAGCCGTCTCTTTAAATAGGAGGACAGAGATTTATAGAGCATTAACACAGACAGAGCTGTTCCTCTATACACACACACACACACACACGTGGTCAGGGGACTCACAGGGCCGTAGCTCAGCTCCTGGTTCTGCTTCTCCTGTAAGGCGGCGACAGTTGCGGTGGCGGTTGCGGTGGCGGTGGCTGCTGCTGCGGCGACCGCTGCTGCCGCGGCTGCTTGGGTGAAGTCAGTGGGTGGACGAACACCATGAGGAGGCATCCCGAGAGAACCGGCGCCGTTATTGGGGTAACTAATGAAAGCAGATCCACAAACATCATCAGATAACTATTCAGAAGTCAACAATAATGTGCTGTACAGTATTAATGAAAGATAATAATGATCATGATGGTCATCAAGCCTTCGTTTATTTGATCCAAAGTCCAGAAAACAATAACAACAACATACAAAACTATTGTTTCATATTATATTGTGATATTATATCACATTTTACTTAGCCATGTGTTTAGACAGACACACACACAACTCAGTCACATTCTCACCCACTCACACACTCTCTCACCTGCCGCCGTATCCGGGTCCGGCAGGGTATCCTCCGCTGGGCCGGCCGTACATGCCCTGCTGCATGTATGTTTTGTTGGGCTCCGGGTAGCCCTGCTGGCTCATGAACTGGGGCGAGTTCATGCCCGGACTGCTGCCCGGCATCATGTGACCCCCGGCTGAGTTTCCTCCTGGACCCATGGGTGCTCCGAAAACCTGCACAACACACACACACATATCAGCACAACACACAACTCAACACGCACCTGAATCATTAGCTGTTATTCTGCGCTGTTATCCATTACCTCACGAAAATAATACAAATAATAATTAAAAATAGACAAAAATAATCAACAGTAATTACTTCTGAACCAAATCACAATGAGAAACAGAGAAAGAAGACATACTTGTCATTTGTTTAACCTATTTTTTACCAGGAAAACCTCTTAAACTCTGTTATCTCTTTTTCAAGAGTGTCCTGGACGAACAAACATCTTCAGTAATAGTGTGCACAGCAATAATATAGTGCAACAGTAGTGTTGTGTAGGATATAGGATGTGTAGGACACGATATCAGTACTGACATTTTAAAAGCCTCCATTCCCCGCAAATATTTGAGCGCGTTCTTAAACCGTTGTGTTCACAAGCTCAACAGAAATGACTGTGATTGGCTGTGAAGGTCATCAGTTCACCGAACTCACCGAGTGTGAACGCAGACACAGCGACACTGGAGTGCTTTAAAGCCTTGATTTATCAGCGGATCGCTCGTATATCAGCTTATAGATAAACCAGCTGATGGACGTGAATCTCCACGGTCCTTGTATCTGTGGTTACACTCGATAAACAGCGGTGAGTTCGGTAAGCTGATGACCTTCACAGCCAATCACAGTCATTTCAGAACGCGCTCAACAGCACTCAAATGTTAGCGGGTTGGCTATCGAATTCCAGTATCGTGACAACACTAGGACAGTAGTGTAGTGTAACAGTAGTGTAGTGTAGGACAGTAGTGTTGTGTAGGACAGTAGTGTTGTGTAGGACAGTAGTGTTGTGTAACAGTAGTGTAGTGTAGGACAGTAGTGTTGTGTAGGACAGTAGTGTTGTGTAGGACAGTAGTGTTGTGTAGGACAGTAGTGTTGTGTGTAACAGTAGTGTTGTGTAACAGTAGTGTTGTGTAACAGTAGTGTTGTGTGTAACAGTAGTGTTGTGTAACAGTAGTGTTGTGTAACAGTAGTGTTGTGTAACAGTAGTGTTGTGTAGGACAGTAGTGTTGTGTGTAACAGTAGTGTTGTGTAACAGTAGTGTTGTGTAGGACAGTAGTGTTGTGTGTAACAGTAGTGTTGTGTAACAGTAGTGTTGTGTAACAGTAGTGTTGTGTGTAACAGTAGTGTTGTGTAGGACAGTAGTGTTGTGTGTAACAGTAGTGTTGTGTAACAGTAGTGTTGTGTAACAGTAGTGTTGTGTAACAGTAGTGTTGTGTAACAGTAGTGTTGTGTAGGACAGTAGTGTTGTGTGTAACAGTAGTGTTGTGTAACAGTAGTGTTGTGTAGGACAGTAGTGTTGTGTGTAACAGTAGTGTTGTGTAACAGTAGTGTTGTGTAACAGTAGTGTTGTGTGTAACAGTAGTGTTGTGTAACAGTAGTGTTGTGTAACAGTAGTGTTGTGTAACAGTAGTGTTGTGTAGGACAGTAGTGTTGTGTGTAACAGTAGTGTTGTGTAACAGTAGTGTTGTGTAGGACAGTAGTGTAGTGTAGGACAGGAGTGTTGTTTAAGAGTAGTGTAGTGTACCTGGCTGGCTGAAGGGTTGGTTACCCCCCACACTGTGGTTACCACAGAGAGGGAGCCGGCGGGCTGACTGGGGCCTTGCTGCCAGGGGACAGGATCATATGGGTATGAGGAGTCACTGCGGACAGAAACACACTGTTATTAATATTGAAAGTAGACATACACAGTGAAAGTCTACGTTATTCGCCTTCCGGTGATTAAAAAAAAAATTTCCAAATGATGTTGAACAGATTCAGGAATTGTTCAGTGTTTCCTCTAATATGTGTTCTTCTGGAGAAAGTCTTATTGAGGCTAGAATAAAAGCAATTTAAAGCCATTTTAAGCTCAATATTAGCCCCCTCAGCAATATCAGTGTTGTCTCCAGAACAAAACACTGTTATACAATGACTTGCCTGCTTACTCCTGATTAACCTAATAATGTATACGTAGAAGTACTTTTAATTTTCAGTAACCCAGTACAAGTGCTTCCAGTAAACTGTGTGCCATTATAAAATCGCCACCTTTAAGGTCTGATTTCATTATAAATCAATAATCTCCACTGCCTGATTGATATACCATGTAAAGTGAGTCTCAGAATGTGCAAGAAGCACTGCATGAGGTCACAATGTTCTACACCATGCCTTTAAAAAATAAAAATAAAAAAATCAGCACTGATGGGAGGCGTGCGTTGGCATGAGGCCGCAGGTCGAGTGCCTTAGTGGCCCCACTAGTGCCGATATACAGCCATATCGCACTGCTACCCATGTGATGTTGCGTTCATACATCAGTTTGACGGCATAATTGTGTATATAAAACAAAATGAAACATGGAGAGTCTCAAAAACCCTTTTGTATGAGGAACTACTTTCTTCCGGATTTAAATCATAAGCAGACAGTTAAACAGCTGAGCGTGCATCTTTTACACTGTAGATCTGTACTGTCTGCTTGCTGTATGTGGGCGGAGTAATACACAAAGGGTAAAGAGGCTGTAGGAGTTCTGATATTGCAGAATATCACACGGCTATCAGCCAATCAGATTTGAGAACCAGACAGAACTGTTGTGTGTGTATATATATATATAAACATTACTGGTAGAACTAATGCAGACATGCTCACTTTGAACCCCTTAATATGTGTGGTATTTACAAATGGATGAAATATGAATAAATATAGTTCATTTCCCAATCATCAATACACTGTACACAATACACTGAATTATATTACATCTACAGCTCTCTCTCTCTCTCTCTCTCTCTCTCTCTCTCTCTCTCTGTGTGTGTGTGTGTGTGTGTGACTTCAGACGTGCCACAGTCACATGCTCTGGAGGTACTCGGAACAATGTTTCCATGGCGACTCCACAGTCACTTAGAGACAGGAAAGAGTAACGATGCCAAGGGAGAGGGCTGTGTGTGTGTGTGTGTGTGTGTGAGTGTGTGTGTCTCCTGTTTTCTGTGTAACTGGATCAAACCAGATCGCTCTCAATAACGGCTCTCTCCATCTTTCCATAATTAGCAGCACTACATCGTCCTCATCCTCATCTGAGAGCAGAGGGTGGTGCACCTTCAGCAGCGCTGCTTTAATTGGACATGAATGACTGTAATGAACATGTGAGAAAACAAAGCTCTGTGGAAAAACACGCAGAGGCCACATGCGAATGAAGCGCTCCACCCTCCGCTGCCTGCGTGCACTGGGGTCACATTAAATGCACAATCTACAAGCTATCCTCCATGTTGAAATGAGAAATTTACAGGAACGTGTATTGTTATTTCTCTTCTGCAAACTGCTCATGACTTTTCATCTAAATGTCAAATATGAATGTCATATAGAGACTTAAATGACAACTGATCAAAATAAACAACAGAACACGCCGTCTCTCAGATGCTTACAGTCATTTTACACTGACACTCATCTTTAAACCACACTAAACCATCATATTGGCTGGATGACAAATGATAAATGCTGTTATTCTGATCAATTGGGATTTAAAAAGATATAATAATTACAAATCGACAAAGTTTGATGGCCAGCTTTTCATCTTAATTATATATTTTTTTAATAAAATCTATCTGTTTTATAAAAAAATGTATGAACTATTTAAATATAAAAAATGAATGAATGAAATTGTAAATAAAATGCTTAAAAAAAACTTAAAATAACACCCAAAACAATGTCTGATGGTCAATGATCTTAGTGCTCTATAGGGTTGAGTCGACAGACGATGCCATCGCCGATGTCTAATAGACATCACAGTGCTGAGCCGGCATCGTGATCCTCCACCCCGCCCCCATCTCAGCAGCAACCCACTCACCAAAACAAACACTCAGGCCCCGTTTACACCAATACATCCGAGTTTTAAATGGCATTTAAGAACGAAAACGATTCAAGTCCACACTGGAGTTTTACGTAGCATTTCTGAACAGCCCTCCATCCACACTATACCACTGAAAACACACATCACGTGACCACACACACACACACACACACACACACACACACACACACACACACACACACACACACAAAGTCATGCGCTGCAGCATATGCGCACGTCTGAGCTCCAGCAGTCAGCGGGTGCTTTGAGCACAAAACCCCAGAGAGCAGTGCACGTGGGACTGTTTATCAAGGCTGTACCGCTGGATGGCGTCTCACTACAGTTGTTAAAGGGGATCTTTAATTTATCTAGTCTCTATCTGACGACTCCTCGCTCTTTTTAATCTACCAGGTAACGTGTCACAGCGTCAGTACACTGCTTCAGTCTTTCGCCTTCACACTTGTACTCAGTCATTTTAGTGTAAACGAAGTTTGTGGACGCCATATTACCGACACAGATCACTCTGCCTATTCATGCCATGCAGAAAAGTGATTGACAGGTGCTCATATGTGTGTGTGTGTGTAACTTATCTATCGTTTATGATTTGATTATGGGTAAAACAAAGAGCATGTGGGTCAGCTAGTTGAAACAGCAGGCTACAAATAATCAATTAGTTATGAATTAATTAATTATTCATAAATAAATAATCCACCACTGCCTATGATGATGCCATCGTATTTCATGATGTTTCACATTAGACATCATATGACATCCATCACTTAATGCTAGTGCTCTACTATTAAATCACGAATAATAAATAAAAAAGTAAATACAAATTTAAATAAATAAAACACACAACATACAGTATGATGACTAGTCAATGAGATTCATTCTCTATTAAATTTATAAATTAATAAAACAGCAAAAATTAAAACACCATAAAATAGTTTTTTTTTAATAGTAAATGATCTTATTTTTCTACTATAAAATCTGGAATAAATAATTATAATAATATAATAATAATAATAATATATATATATATATATATATATATATATATATATATATATATATATATATATATATATATAAAATGTAAACAATATATATAGTTTAATGAGCAGTCATTTAAATCTATATAACATTTAAATAAATAAATCTAAAGTAATGGTATAATTATATCTATGTAAAATATATAACATTTTAATAAGAAGCCAAGGATCATGATTTTGTACTACAAAAATCAATCATAAATATGATATTATATATAAATTGATAATCAAAAACATTTCAATTATATAAATCAAAATTACAAATTAAATTACAAATATAGTTTGAGTAGTCGAGGATTTTGATTCTATACTATAATATCATTAATAAAAATATAGAAAAATCTAATTAAAAATGACACACAAAATAAAAATAAATAAAAACATTTAAATGATTCAGTGAAATAACACAATTAAAATAACACACAAAACAGAGTTTGATGGCCACTAAATGACCTTAAATCTCTACTATAAAATAATTAATTAAAACATAAATATGAATAATTATAATTAAAATAGCCCACTGTTAAATATCTTAATAGTAATAAACAATAAATTATACATTACAAACATAAAATTAAAATAAAGTAAAATTAAAGTAAGCCACAAAACAGAGACAGATGGCCTGTAAATGATGAATTGTCTACTATAAAATATTAAATTAATAAACATAAAACATAACTAAAACAACACACATCATGGCCAGACATTGACCTTAATTATCTACTATAAAATAACAACATAAACATGAATAAAGCAAAATTAACCAACAAAAAAGGTTTGATGGCCACTAAATGATCTTAAATCTCTACTATAAAATAATAAAACATAAATATGAATAATTAAAATAGGCTACAAAAGAGGTGTGATGGCCAGTAAATGATCTTAACACAATCTTACAATAATAAATAATACATGACAAACATAAAATTTGATCAAAGTAAATTACAGTAACACAAAGCAGAGACTGATGGCTGGTGAATGATCTGAATTCTCCGCTCATTGGCAGGAGAGCTGAAATCTTGGCCTCTGAATGGGATTATTCCAGGTGAAAGTCACCCAAGCGGCAACAAATCCAGAGTATCTCGAAAATGAAACCTGTGAGGGTTTATGAAGTTTCTCTGTCCCGAGACACCAAACACTCGCCTCTATACAGAAGAAACAGGAGATCTGGACACTTCTACATCTCCAGTGGATTAAAGAGCACTAAAAATACTCTAGTCAGAGCTGAAAATGTGGTGCAAGCAGAGTTTATACACTCACCGGCCACTTTATTAGGTACACCTGTCCTATTGCTTGTTATTGCAATTCTATAATCAGCCAATCACACGCCAGCAACTCAATGCTTCCAGCAGGATAACGCAGCATGTCATAAAGCTCAATCATCTCAGACTGGTGTCTTGAACATGACGATGAGTTCACTGTGCTCAAATGGCCTCCACAGTCACCAGAGCTCAATCCAATAGAGCAGCTTTGGGATGTGGTGGAACGGGAGATTGGCATCATGGATGTGCAGCCGACAAATCTGCAGCAACTGTGTGATGCTATCATGTCAATATGAAGCAAAACCTCTGAGGAATATTTCCAGTAGCTTGTTGAATCTCTGCCATAAAGGATTAAAGCAGATCTGAAGGCGAAAGGGTGCAACCCGTTACTAGTAACGTGTACCTAATAAAGTGGCCGGTGGGTGTATATCTGTGGTAAAGCACTTCATAAAGAGTTTGACACTGAAAAAGACTCCATATGCTGATTAATCGTGTTTTAAGGGTGTTTCCAAGTGTACGTTACATTATTTATCATTAATGAACTATAAATGTAAACATGAGGTTAATTTAACATGAGAACACACTGCATTAATATATGCAGCTATAATAGATGTGTTTACATGCGGAGTGGAATCTGTGTAAGCTAAAAATCTAGCTGTGCTGATATTAACATCACGCAAATAAGGGGTTTAAATGGGCGTCATTGTGGATAATTTGATAAAAAAAAGCATATTATAAGAAAATGGAAGTGTTTTTTGACCTTGCATGAATATTAGCCTGTTATTGGAGACCCATAAAACCACAATATGATATTTTAGAATGCATACTAGGAACTCTCTTTAACATAAAACAAGAAAGCTTTTATTGTAAGGACATGGTGTAATAGCTTAAAATCTAACACTGTTAATATACTAACACTCAGGTTATGACCTTTGACCCCTGAATAACAAGCTTGGAGCGTACAGCAGGTGGCGCCACAAACAAAACTCCCGCAGCACAAAGAGAACACATTCAGTGTGTGTGAAAACGTAACATTCTGTACTGCAGTTACTGATTGTTTATGTACGTTTACTACATGTATAAAGTGTACGTGTCATATTTCTGAGCGATTTGATTGGGATAGAGAATAAACAATAAACAAATAAAGTAATGACTGCAGGTTGAAGGAAAATAGCGCAGTAAAAGTATTGATACAGTGCTAAAAACAGTGAACCAAACTCCTGCAGCGCTGAGAGAACACATGCACTGTGGAAACGTAATATTCTGTAGTGCATTTACTGATTGTTTAAGGTCGTGTTTCTTTTTTCACGCCTGACGTTTGCTCCAATTCATCAATAAGTGCCCTACAAAGTGGACGATACAGGATATTTTACTATGATTTCAATTCGAAGGGAGCATGTTTCAAT